AATCATGCAGCATATGCACAATTTCGTTGTTCGATATTAAGAGTCTTCGTTGTGATGAACGTGTATGAATTTCTGCTGTATGACAAGTGTTTTATTGCATATATATGGTAGCGTTTTCTTGATGTAGAATAGCAAAAGATTAGTGTTGAAAACGATCGGTATCTTTTTTATTGATTGATGGAACTGGTTTGCCCAAATTCGAGACCTAACCCATAAGACCACTGTAAACTTATTGGATGTAGCCCCAAATGTGAACTTGGTTGTCCAAACCCATCAGTACCTGCTGCCATTTTAATAAAACAATAAATCCGAACTACTAAGCATGTTTGGAGCTATTCGAATAGAGTAATTTGTGCATGGTGATTAAGCAATTAAAATTACAATTAGGTAAAGTTAATACGGAATGAACGTACATTTTGTGGAACATATTCATGTCACGTCGAAAAAGATGTTTTTTTAGGGTGAATTTGGATGGGAGGGATTTTAGGGGTATATTTCAGGTTTATAATGATAAATTCATAAAGTCATTTGATAATTAATTTCGTATTCGTAATACACATATTTAGTTGTTTTTTGAAAGTTACGGTGAATTTCGAATCCATTCTCAGTTGAAGTCATTTCAAACCGACCCCGAATATGATTGAAAGTTTATTAATGAAAGGTATGGAGGTTTTTTCCAAGAGCCCCATGAATATAAGGAATTAGACGATTTAAAAATTATCTGGCCCCGAAAGAACATATGTTATATAAATAGAATACTAATGTATTCTTATCGAATTTTTCTAAGTGCATTCTCGTTATTGTAAATCGTTCAATTAACTGAATGAATCAGCTCAATCGATTATCGATCGATCTAATTAAGAGCGACTAACATTTTTTATTGTACCTCATACAAAATTGTAATGTATGCATGTGTATATATATATACATTAATATATAAAAAGGTGATGCAGAGAAATAGCTATATGTAAATTGTTTAATCAAAGTAATCATTTAGCTCAAAAGAAAATCACGTGAGTTCTGAATTGTTTTTTACAAACCATCAAAATACATACAGGAAAATTTATCCTGATATCTCTAAAACATAATTAAAAGATACGATTTGAAGATAGAAAATAGATATTGACTACATTCTAATGAAAATCAAATCAAACTTTCTGCTCGGGATTGGCCTTTTGCATGTTGACTCGCCGTTTGACCATCACGTAGTAAACTCCAATTCCGGCGAGGCACACAAATAGGAAACTTACGGAAATTCCAGCCACGCCGCCAGCTCCAATCCCTCGACCACCCGTGGCGGTGGCGGCGGCGGCGCTTTGGTGTGCCGGAGCAGACTGAACGGTGGCTGCCGCTAGAGGCAGCGAGGGGTTGTTTGCCACCGGCTGCAGGGTGTTGGGGTGGAAGAATGCGTATGCTTCTGGGGAGATAGCTATTGGGCCCTCGTTCGCAACGCCGTGGACGCGATCTTCGGCTGTGGAAAGAGAGATGAGGGTTGAGAGAATGATAAAAATCACAAGGGAAGCCATTGCCGGAGGAGTTCTTTTTATTTTTTTCTTTCTTTTCTTTTTTTTTTGGTTGGGTTTTGCACTCTCAGTGTGTGTAGGAGTTGGCGTTTTAAGCGTGAGTGTTTGTGTGTGTGGGTGTTTTGGGGGGGTTGGGGTTTGTTAATTTATAGGTGGAAATTGGGGTTGTTGCATTTCAATGAATTTGGTTTGGTTCCTGCTTTGAAAAATAAACATTAATTGTCTTCATGCTTTCTAGGCATGAAAATAAGTAAATTGGAACCAAAAAAATTGGAACCAAAAAAATAAGTAATTATTATTTGGGTTTTCAAGGACTTGAAATTAAAGAAATTGCTAAAATACATTAATTGAGAAATTGCAAAAATTATTGTTTTGGTTTTCTTTAGGATGGATTGTTGGGATTCTAAAATAACAAATAATTTTGTTTTGGTTTTCTTTAGGATGGATTGTTGGGATTCTAAAATAACAAATAATTTTGAATAAAAAAAATTTATCTTCAAAACAAAATTAAAAGTGCACCTAGGTTTTATTGAGTTTTGTTTTTTTTGTAATGTCTACTCACAAAAATAGTTTTTTTATTAATTTATTATAAAAGCAATACAAGATATTTAAAAATAGTAGTAAGAAAGGAAGCAAGTCAAAATAATGATATGGTGTCTCATGAGTGGCATCATAACATGCACTTGTAATTGTTCCTGATTACTATGTTGATTTGTACAATACTTAAACTCATTTTCCAATTTTAAAAATTAGTAAGCCAAAAAAATTATTTTTATAAACACACTACGCTTTCATCAACTCAAACTTAATTACACATTTGATCCCGTAGTACAGTTAAACTTCTGTAAATTAATACAGTTACGATCGGTCAAATTCAATTCATTTATCAGCAGGTTTTCTCTAGTCTAAATAAGAGAAAGAAACCATTTTTCATTCATGAAAATGTCATAATTAATGATCATTTTTTCTCCTCACTTTTTCATAGTAGTATTTAATTATTATTAATGGGGAAAGAAAGACATTAGTGATTTTCGTAGCTTATAAGAGCAGCAAAGGAGGTAATAAATTGCAACAATAATAAATATATAGCAACACCATTTCCAAAGCAAACTCTCCATCTGTCACACCTTCTTCACATTATTACTTATAAGTTGCGCATGCTATTAAAAAACACACACACAAACACATGTTGTGTGTGTGTAAGTAGTAAAAGTTGGTATAATTTTATATGAGAGATCGAGAGCTCATCATTTATTGAGTTTCACAAGTTTTATGCAATTGCACCTCAAAATGTATCACAAGATTTTTGCTTAGAGATACGATTACAAAACCTATGATCAAGCATACACATTCGGTTGTCTACCGAAATGAAAATTTTGTTTCGATTTTCGATTTTTTTCTTTTTGAAAATTCGATTTTTTGTTTTTAGTCATTTTTTGGTAGGAATGACCTTTTTTTCTACCAAAATTCCCTACCGACCAAATGCCCTGCTAAATCTCCATCGGAATTTCAATACTGATCCGATATGACTCGTTACCCTGCCGTAACGAAATATTTAGTAGGAATTTTGTAATACCAAAAATTTTGTAATGATAGGGGTGGAAGGGTTATGGTATGCTGGCAACCCTACCAAACCGTTTCATTGTTCTTGGCACACTTCAAAAACAGATACCCAAAAAAGAAAATATAAATCATTTTAGAACTTTATAAAAATAAATATATATATTTAAAAAAAAAAAAAAAAAAAAAAAAAAAACCACACTGCGGGCCGGTGCATATTTTTGGGCTTATCTAGTTCTGTAAATCCGGCCCAAATTTACTGGATAAGTGGATAGGCTGAAATCGAATAAAATCATATTTAATAAGAAGACCAATTATAAAATTAGATATCCGTACAACACCTTGTTTAATATAAGAAATGGTTGACGAAAAGAAATAAAGAATGGCGGTAAATTTTGACACTTAGATAGGAAATTAATAATAATAATAATAATAATAATAATAATAATAATAATATTAATAATATTAATAATAAGGGTAAATTACAACCACCCGAGGTATGGTAAAATTACGTAAACCCCCCTCCTGTTTGGGTAGTTACAACAAGTCAACTCCTCAACTATAAATTTTCTTACATGTCCACCCTTGCGGTTTCAAATTTAGAGGAATCTTTTTTTTTTGTAAGGAAATTTTAGTGGAATCTTCTTGATTATATGAAATATTATCACTTTTGTACTCGTTTATCCTATTTGAGCTCCACATTTTGAAACAAGATGATTATAAGATGTGTTTTTTGGCTTGTATATATCAGATTGTAGTGCATTAGAAACTGTATTTTTACACATAACGAGTCCAAACTAGAGCACATTCCACGAAATCTAGATGATTATATTGAATTTGACACCATAAGGGTGGAGGTGTAAGAAGATTCATAGTTGAAGGTAGATGAAATTCCAAACAAGAGGGGGTTTTCGTAATTTGACCATACCTCAGAGGTGGTTGTAATTTAAAAATAATAAATACTATTATATAATATGTTAAAAAATTCATTTTTATTTATAAAAAAAATTCAGAATATATCTCAACTTTTTAAAATAAATTATTTTCTCTCACATGTATGAAAAAGAGCCAAGAGAAATGCATATTTAATTTCGGAACAAGATAAGATGGATTAGTTCATAAATCACTGAGGGTTGATAATGACCTAGAAAGATGTATACTAATTAAAACACTTTAATTATCATTAAGATGTAGATTAAGGCCCTACAACCTAATTGAGCATAGATAATGGAGGGTGAGAAGCAACTTT